AATGCTCTCAAATACTTATGGTGAGGTCGCTATTAGTGAAAGAACGTGTCGTGAGCGGTTTCAACGCTTCAAGAACGGTGATTTTGACGTCGAAGACCGGCATAGCGGTGGAAGAAAGAAGATTTTTCGAAGATGCAGAATTGGAGGCATTACTTGATTAAAACTCGTGTCAAAATCAAAAAGAATTGATACGATTATTGAGAGTGACTCAACAAGCTATTTCAAAACGCCTCAAAGTCATGGGAATGATTCAGAAGCAAGGAAATTGGGTGCCGTACGAGTTGAAACCGAGAGATGTTGAACGGCGTTTGTTTGCTTGTGAACAGCTGCTTGAAAGGCAAAGACGGAAGGGATTTCTGCATCGCATTGTGACTGGGGATGAAAAATGGGTTCATTACGATAACCCCAAGCGTAGAAAATCATAGGGAGATTTCCCGGCCATGCTTCTACGTCAACGGCCAAACCGAATATTCACGGCTCCGAGGTCATGCTCTGTATTTGGTGGGACCAGCTCGGCGTAGTGTATTATGAGCTGTTAACTGACTGAAACAATCACAGACGATCAGCATCGAACGCAATTGATGCGTTTGAGCCGAGCATTGAAAGACAAACGGCCGCAATATAACAAGAGACACGATAAAGTGATTTTGCAGCATGACAATGCTCGACCCCATGTGGCGAAAGTAGTCAAGACATACTTGGAAAATTGAAATGGGAAGTCCTATCCCCCCCACCGTATTCTCCAGACGTTGCTCCCTCTATCACTTGTTTCGATCAATGGCACATGGTCTGGCTGACCAGCACTTCCGGTCTTATGAAGAAGTAAAAAATTGGATCGGTTCGTTGATCGCCTCAAAAGATGACCAGTTTTTTCGATGCGGGATTCGTACGCTACTCGAAAGATGGGAGAAAGTAGTGGCCAGCGATGGACAATAATTTGAATCCTAAATGTATAACCAGTTACAATAAAGTTTCGAATTTCGGAAAAAAAACGGCGGAAACAAAATTGTACACCTAATACCAGGTGTACAAGTATGAAATGCGGATTTTTTTTCAAAAAAAATACGTTAAATTCGAAATAATGATAAAAAGTGGTTTATTCAAAGTATGCTCCATTGCTAGTTATACATTTTTCCCATCTTTCGGGTAATTTGTGGATACCACGCTAGTAAAAATTTTCCCCTTTTGCCGCGAACCATTCATCGAGCCATTTTTTCATTTTCGTACGAACCAAAGCGCTGCTTAGCAAGTGCGTGACCCATCGATGCAAACAAGTGGTAATCGGAAGGAGCCAAGCTCTGGTGAATAAGCCGCATAGGCTAGCACTTCCCAGCTGAGTGCTTCCAACGTGTCGCGAACCGGTTTTGCCGTATGTGATAGAGCATTGTCATGGCAAAAAATGATCTTGTGTTGCCTTTTTCGATATTCTGGTCGTTTTTCGAGTAGCGAACAGTTCAAATCGACCAATTGTTGTTTGTAGCGTTTGGTATTAACCGTTTCAGCAGGTTTTAGCAGCTCATAATAGACCACACCCTTCTGATCCCATCAAACACAGAGCATCGTCTTCCTGCCAAAGGGATTCGGTCTTGCGATTGATGGTGCGCCTGGGGTCTACCCATGATTTTTTGCGCTTGGGATTCTCAAAATATATTCACTTTTCATCCCCAGTAACGATATGATGCAAGAACGACTTTCTTTTGTATCGTTCGAGCAAAATTTCACATGTGTTTTTGCGCCTCTCCATCTGCCTCTCGTTCAACTTCATGTGGTATCCATCTGCCGACCTTCTGAATCTTTCCCATCTCTCGTAGGCGATTGGAAACAGCTTGTTGACTAACGCTTAATTGCTCTGCGAGTTGTTTTTGTGTTTGTGAATCGTCTTCGTCCAACAATGCTCGCAATTCTACATCTTCGTATCTTTTTGACGGTTTTCCGTTTTCCTTGTCTGCAACATCGAAATCACCACTTTTGAAACGCCGAAACCATCGTTCACACGTATCTTACGATGGAGCATGTTCATCATAAGCTTCTCGAAGTAATCGATATGATTCAGCAGCAGTTTTCTTCAAATGAAAACAAAAAATTAATGCTGTCCGCGAATGCTCTTTATTTGGCACAAATTTCGACATATTGAACACAGCAAAACAATAATATTATGCAAACACTTTTTTAATTTATCACTTATGCGCGTTTGACACTTGTTGATGGCACAACCAAATGGCATACGTTAAATCTTTATACTACACACTACATTGGTGCACCATCTGTTGTCTCAAATCCGCACTTCATACTTGTACACCTGGTATTACTATTTAATTTGTTTTTTCCTATGATTACTCTCCTTACTTTTACTCTTTCCGTCTTTGTTTTTTCTACTTTACTTTCGTTCTGTAAGCTCTTTTGGGCTTATAGAGCTGTGTTTGCTCTAAAAATTTTGTTTTTTTAAGCTTTTCTCTCTCTGCCGAATTTCCTCTTATTAACTTGCAGTTTTTTTGTAATCAATCTTCATCTCAATTCTTTTGCTTTTTTCAACTTTCGTTATCATGTGTAATATCTCTTTCTATGTTTGTCTCTCTTTCCAGGTTAGATTGTTATCCATAAATACGTTTTTATCTTTCAAGTTCTTTTTCTTTATTATTATTCCTCTCTCTCTCTTGCTCCTTATTTTCAAGCTTTGCTGTTTTTGTTGTTACTATTTTGTTCTTCTTCTCATCCAGAACGTTTTTTTATGGTCATCTCCACATTCGTTCATCTTCCACTGCCGTCTCCAGCGTATTTCTTTTTGTTATTTCTTAGCTTTTTATTATAATGTTCTTTTTTTCTTTTTTCTCTCTTCTGCTGTTTCTAATTTTTTATTTTTTCCCATAATTTTTTCTCTATTCCATCTTCATCAACAAATTTTTTATTTTCTCCACCTCCGTAATTCTTCCCTTCACTCCTTTTTCATTCTTTAGTCGACTTTGAGTTCTTTGTTTCTTCTTTTGTATTTCTCAACTCTTCTTTTACATCTCTTATAATCTCTTATCAATTTCGTGTCATGTTTTTATATTCTCTTTTGATGATGCTTCTTTTTCCTTGTAGGATTTTCCTCTTTTTATAGGTGATCTTCTTTGTGACTTCCAAATTTTCCTAAGAATTCACTTTCTATTTCTATTCTATGTTCAACTTCATTTCTTCCTTGATGTTCCCTCGCTTCTAACTTTGCAATTAAAAGATTCAAGATTATTTTATCTTTTTTACTTCTTTTTTCTCCTTCTTCCTCTATATTCTTCTATTCACATTACATTTATCATTTTCTAGATTATCCATTAATTTTCCAGTGTGTATCGATCAGTTAATTCCTGTCTTATCGATTTTGCTTTATCAGTAGATATTAATGATAATTCCGAACATCTTGCGATCCTTCTTTTTTCGTCTCTACCTTTTTATCTTCGCATTTGGTAAAATTCCGACTTAACCTTATTTTTTTATACTGTGTTTTACTTAACCTCTTTTCCTTTAATTTCCTTCTTGCTTTTTACATCTTTATTCTTCTTGGCTTCTCATTTTTTCTGTTTTCACATGTCTATCCTTTGGCCCTTTGATATTCTATGTCTTTTTCTGTTTAATCTAAGATTTTTCAATTACACGTGTCACTTTGCTATCTTGCACTCCCCCTAGTCACCTGTATGGTTATTTATTGATTACTGAAACACAAAGAGAGTTTTCGAATACGTATTTGATAAATCTATTTTTGATTATAAATGTTGTTTTATTAAAAAATACATTTTAATATGGTTTGTAAGAATTTTCTAAATGTATTTTTCTTGCTTCTGATGTCACAATCCAAAACAGCTGCAATAACTGTAGGCAAGAGCCGTAAAAAGAAAAAAAAAAACTTATGAAATCTACTTCCAAAAAACAGATTTAAAGGCCTTTTTTAATATTATTTTGTCAGTCTTTTAAAAACTAGACAATTATTTTCGAAAAAGTAATTATTATTCAAGATAATATTTCAAGTAATCATGATGGATCATTTTGTATTATGTTTCTGATATTACATTTTTTTGTAGGTTCTTCCCCTTCTGGTCATTCTTTGTCCATAGAACATGAATCAAGCAACGCAAGAAACGAATTGAGGGAAATTCAAGCAAAACAGTGCAATAAAAAGAAGCAAGCCACCGTGAGTCCAATAAATGTACAGTAATTTTTTATTATTTATGACAATAAGTTTATCTAATGTTATTCTTCTTATTATTTGCGATACTTTTTAATCCTTCCCTTTATGTTAATATGTTGTTAGAAAGAATTGAAAGATGAAGAATAAAATCTTGATAGACAATTTATAATTGAAATATTATACACATACAGGTTGACCCATCGAAAACGAAACAGACTGAATAACTGTTATAAAAATGATTTTTTGAAAAAACGCAAAAATAAGTCGATATATATATTGAAAAGGGGACATCTTTTGACGTATAATTCTTACCTTCAACTTCAAAGTCAAACCAAAACTTACCCCATATATATAAATGGGGGCGCCAATCCCTAAAAGATTTCAAATGGGAAGAGGGATCGAATGATACATCATTAGGAAAGTTTTCAATTTTCTACATTTCTATGTTTATTTAGTATTTTTATTTCCTATGTTTTATTTTTCAAATTTAGTTAATTCGTTTAGAAGATACAGAGTGTTAAATCTAAAACAAACAAATTTTCAAACTTTTTTCTTTATTATCAAATCAGTTCACAGTGGGATCGATCGCTGAAAAAGTGGCCAAAAGTGAAAGATAATATCATTACGAAAACCTGAATTTATAAATTTTTTAGGCTGAATATGATTCTGATCTCAGAATTAAGAATTTAAAAATGGCAGATTTGAATTTTAAAATTGTCTAATACGCATAATAGTTGATTGCAAAGAGCTTTTTTTGAATCACTGATTCCGATTTTGACATAAAAAATAATTAATATAGGATAAAGTATTGTGAGCACTTTAAGGAAACATTTTGACATTAAAAAATTAAAAATGCATATTTGATAGATTTGTTGATATTTTACGTATTTTAGTTGATTCTTTTAATGTTGGTGCTCATATTATCCTCTGGGTAGAATAATATGAGCATCCTTGAAAGTAATATAAACATAAGAATTTTTTTATAAGAAATTATGCAGAAATAAAATATTGAAATATATATATAATATATGAAACATTTTATTAGAAGTAATTTTACAAATATTTAGTAAGTAATACCAAATGATAACAGTTTGGTAATACTTATTAAATATTTGTAAAAACGACATTATTTTTGGTTATATTAACCAAACATTTGATTGGCATTATTTTATCATACATTTATTAGCTATTAGATTTTATTATCAGACTCCGAAAGGTCAATCATTACTAAAAAAATGTACAGTGATTGCTAATTATGGCAATACAACATACTTTATTGTTGGCATTGCTATTGTATTGTTTTCCTATGTATTACCTTGTTAAGACTAATGTTGAGATTTTCTCTGTTTTTTGAGTCAATGTTGTCATTGTTTAAATAATTTACTCGGGGATCGGAGATTAAGTTGTGCGGTTAAGGATGCGGTACACTGGGAAGTACCGAATAATTTATAGGAAGGGTAATCTTGAATCCGGTGCCAAAAAGATCGCGAAGTTTATAGGCGAATCTACGTGGATCGGACTTTAGAATATTTTTGTAATTAGGAAACATGAAGTTGATCTCCAATTTACTTAGAGTGTAGACAGATTCGCGGGATGAGTCTACCAGTTTGTCTTGATCTAGCAATTGCGCAAGTTTTTGGAAATAGGGGACAGGATCTTGATTTGAAATAAGGGCTGATTTAATTTGGAACCTTAATCTCTTTTCTCTTTGTCTTCGTCCGCCTTTGGTAGGCATGGAGGTAATGCAAAAAAGGAATTATAATAATAATTCCGAAGAACCGTCATAAACGGGGGCCACGCTATTGGCAGCGACAGTCGCAACAATTCCTCAGATATTCATATATGTATATGTACTTGTATGTAACCGAAGATTAGAGATTTAGAGATTCCGTTGATAGATTCGATTCAATATTTTCGTTTATTAAAATAAGTAAATGCTATAAGTAAAACAATACGAAAAAGAAAAGTGAGGTTCTGATGAAGCATGAAGATAGTTCTCACCTTGATTGTATAACTGTAACTGTAACTAACTGACTGTAAGAGAGAGTAAGTAACTGACTGACCGACTGACTGATGGACTGACGAACGAACGTTTCTGTCTTTGACAGCTCCTTTTATATTCTGAAAATGAGTGTGGGAATGTTCTTTCAGAACCAATCGACACTCCTCAAAATTTAGTAGAACCTATACTCGCGCTTTCCTTGAGATAAGGCAGCAAGGCTCCGCGTAAGCCCTACTCCCCACTCTACAGTTTATTCTTAATAAGTAATAGTTGAGTTTTAACAATTTGTAGTAATAAAAATTCGGTTTTCCTTAATATCCTTTATGCGTGGCGAATCCACTACATTCATATGTTTAAAATTAATTTAACTTTATTAGAAAAAGAAAAAGGAAAAAAAAGATACTCGTTCTCGCATTCAGGAAGATTTCTATTTTACTGCTAATTACTTAATCATTAAACGCTAATATAATATTATACATATTATTAATGTTAATGTACGCTTTTATATTTGTTATTTTATAGGAGGGCTTCTTTGAGAAAGATGTGATATTCTTAGATATTCTTTAGAATAATCTGTAGATAATTTGTATAACGCATAAAAGTATATAACGTGATCTATCTGCTAGTTTGAATGTTTAAATACAGAAATTGAATGTACCCTCTTATAAAAGAGAAAAGGAATTTTCAGTTTTGAAATAAAGATAAAATTGGGAAATATTAACCTAGCGATAAGATAAAAAGTAAGGTATAAATCGTATATCTATGATAAAGAATAAGAAGATTTTATCGGGATGGTAACAACCTATTGCGTACAATATTGGCAAATGTTAATGTATTGCTATATTGTGCGAGAGCGCACCGCGCGGAAAAATTCGAGTGAGAGTTCGGCGCACGGCTGGTATGATGCACGACAGTAAAATCAACTCAGTTTCTTTGTAATTTAACAAAAGAATTTCTTTAATATATTCAGTTACAAAGTCAAAAGATATAATTAATTAAAGATTAGATTAACAGAATATTAAAAGCGGTCACCTTTTCCAAATTGAGTTTGGAATCGCGGTGATGGAAAATCTCGGCGATTTTTCTCGACACTTCTCGAAAGTTTCGGTTTATAGCGATTTCACTAAACGGTTAGCACGGCGATTTTACGAAGCGCGACTATGACTCTAAGAACTCTAAGAACTTTTTGGAAGTAAGAAGGAGGACGGCGAGATCGAAGCATTTATTGCTTTCGGCCTGAGCTTTCCCTTTTGGGAAAAATCCAATAAAAATTTGCCACAATCGTAATTATTACGTGGCATTAGGTGTACAAAATTGATTGGCGCTTTGGATTCTTTTCTAGCGACGTTCAACGTAACAGTCATGCGCGACAGAAAATCCGTGCGTGGGATTGGTGACAGCGCGTGACGTATTCGTCGGAGCGCGGCGCTCGCGTGCGCGAATTGAATTGTTCTAGAACCTTCGATTGTCCGTTGCCGGTAACGACAACTTGTTTGCGTGTAACGAATTGTTTTTAAAAAGAACAAAGAACGACGAATTTGATGATTTTAACGAGGATTAAAATCATGTTTGAGATGAAATCACGAGCTCAATTTGTGCATGCGTTCAATGACAATTAATGTCGATCGACTGAAAGAATTCTTGCTTTCCTTTCGAATTACCGATCTCAAACATTCACTGCTTTGTATTGTTAACATATTGCTAGAGTGAATGGCTTGAAATTGTTTACTTTGCAAATATTAATACACAGAATAAAATAGCTTATCACAATGTAGATTAGATACCTTATGAAGTTAGGGGAAAAAAACGTAAGAAATAAAAAAAATTTTTAACTCCCAATTGTATTGCGTATCCCGGATGAAGACATTTAGCAGTAGGTTTAATCAGCTGAATCTGGAGCGATATATGTCCATTGACACGTCCACGTATATTCTTAGATCTCAGTTTCAATAAATCTTATGGTATTTTCTTCTTTAAGGGGATCTCCTACATTAGAGGGTAAAAAAAAATTAATTTTTTTTTTCATAAATTGATAGTACAATTCGTCGAGAAAATATGTTTTTAAAATTTTAGAGCGAAATTCGAAATCTTTTAATATAAATTCAGCGCTTATATATACAGGTACTTATGTGTATATACGGCGTGCATAATAAATAATAAAAAAAATTTTTTTTAATTGTAGTTTTAAAGTCATTTAGTTTTCATTTTGGAAATTTTTTTTCTATTTTTTATAGTTTCGATGATATTCGAAAGAAAAAAAAAACGATTTTTCTTTGAGGGAGTATTTCACCCCCTAAACTTCGAAATAAGCACAAACAAAAAAATAAGGGTCCAATACTTTTTTGTGATCTACAATATATTCAAAACTCATTAAAATCGATGAGAATCGGTTCTCTTGTTAGTAGTACGAGAGAGACCTGAATAGCTTGGCTCAAACTACTCAAAATGAATTCCACTAGGAAGCTGAAGGATTATTGTATGTCCTTAAAATAATAGATTAGCTTCGAGCATTATACGTATTCAAGAACCAAATCTGATAGGGGAGACGTAGCTTCGAACAGTTTTTCTTCTTAGGCTCAAAAATTATATAATGAAATTATTTGGATTTTTATTGTAATAGTAGTTACTACAGATATTGAGGTACAATAATAAATCACATTGAAACAAATCATGACAATATGTATTTTATTTATATTTTAAAAAAGCACACTATGTTCAAAAGTACTTCCTTGGGGAGGGGAAAGGAAGGGGGCAGTTTTGAATTACTCTGGGACAGTTTTGAACGCGTTATAAAAATGAAAAATTAGACGTTTCTTATATACTAATTTATTTATACAAATAAGAGTACATTTTTTTTTAAATATAAAGGTACAAAAATAAAAGTTAAAAACTCTTAAAAAAAGTTTAATGATTATGTTAATCAAAATAAAATTCGAAACAATATTAATAAACTCTTAAATTATAAAAATTTAGGTTTTATTAAATACATTATCTCTCTTAA